AAGCTGTGTCTCTCCTTCAGCGACTCTCACCATCTCAAGGCCCCTTCTTCCCCACTGTGGAGAGCTCTTAGGGGAATGTCTACATAGTCCCCTTGGGAAGTAGCCGTCCAGAAAACCAGGCCAAATGCCATTCTCTGGGAAAGAGACAAAAAGGGATTTTTCAAGGGCATTCTGGGAGTTCCCAGGTAGCTCCAGATACTGAGAAGGCCGGAGAAGACCTGGTAGCCATGTGGCAGTGAGATGTGTGGATGACTCACTGTAAGGCCCTTCTCATTCAGGACGCAGCTGACGCTGGAGCCAGGTCTGGCTACCGTGGTCGCCGTTCCCCTCATAGTCCTCATGAACGCTTTGAGGGGCTCACAGTGCTCAAGGCTGCCCAGGTAAGAAGAGGCACTGCGGCCTGGTCTGATGCCTAGGACTTGAGAAGAGGGGCTGTGTCAGGAGGCTGGATACCCGGGCCTCGGCTCCGTGGAGGAATTCTCTGGGGACCTAGATCACTGTATTCTTGGCCCATCATTGGAAAAGGGTGTATCCTGAGACCTGGGGCTCTAGTGTTGTCGTGGAGTTGCTGGAAGGAGGCGTTTAGGCTGCTGAACAGATGGTAGACCCAAATAGGAGGGTAGTGTCAAGAGACACGGGCTAATGCTAGGCCTGTCTCCCACGCCTCTCTCCCTGCCTGCAGCTGGCTCGGGCTGGGACTGTGGGCAGGCCGGGTGCTAAATTGCTTCTGGAGGTGAGCGAGCGAGTCCGGACCTTGACCCAGGCTTACTTTTCCCCGGAACGGCCACTGCACCTTTCCTTCACCCACCTGGTGTGCCGAAGCGCCATAGAAGGTAACCGTCAGGGAGCCCTATCTGGATGTGTTCCGTCTTCACTACTGGCCCAAGTGGGGAAGGCGAGTTTCTCTGCTCATTTGTCACCCAGGAACTGGGCATGGGCCCATGGTGGGAACCAACCCTGATTTATATCCTAGGTGAGCAAGAGCAACGCATGGACCTGAGTCACCCGGTACATGCCGACAACTGTGTCCTGGACCCTGACACTGGTGAATGCTGGCGGGAGCCCCCAGCCTACACCTATCGGGACTACAGGTGGGCAGCCTCCCTGGGGACTGGCAGGTAGGCACACAAGGCTGTAGGCCAGGCCTGGGCCTCGGTGGGGGTCTCACTGCCTCCTGTCTTCTCTGCTTTCCAGTGGGCTCCTCTACCTCAATGATGACTTCAAGGGAGGCGACCTGTTCTTCACACAGCCCAACGCCCTCACTGTCACGGTAGGGGGTTGGGGCAGAGGGCCCAGGTGTGGGGTCAGGATTCATTCAAAACAGCAGCTCTCGAGACGCAAATGCAGGGAAATGGCTGGGGCCACCTTAACCCTGCCGCTCCACCTCTCTAGTCCTGCTGGCCAATGAACCACATTCCAGCTTCCTGCAGAGGCTGACTGGCCCCACGCTGCCTTCCTGGTTTGCCTTCCCTCCTAAGCATGGCTGAGCATAGCTGCAGGATCCACACTTGTAGTCTCAGCTGTTGAGGAAGTTAAGGCTGGAGAATCACTTAGGTCCAGGAGTTCAAGGTCAGCCTGGACAATGCGTCAGGATACCTTCTAAAAGAAAACAAAGCATGCGCCGTGAGGTGGCGCAGTGTGTAAAGGCGCCTACCACTAAGCCCAACAACCCGAGTTTGATCTCTGGAACCGGCATGGTGGAAGGAGAGAACCAGCTTCCACAGTTGCCCTCTGACCTCCACACTGTGCGGCACCATTCACCTCCACCTCCAATAAAAGTGATAAAAACGTAGAAGAAAATCAGAGCAAGGAGGGGCTGCAGAGAAGGCTCGGTGGTTAAGAGCACTGCTGTTCTTCCAGAGGGCCTGGGGTGGTTCCCAGCATCCACATGGTGGCTCACAACCACCTGCAATTCAGTTTTAGGGATCTAACACCCTCTCTGGCTGGCACCAGAACATGTGGTGCAGACATGCACCGAGACAAAACACACACATAAAGTACAGTCGTGACATACATTAAAATAAACCAACCGTGTGACTGAAGCACTGCCTGCAGGACCCACAGAGCCCGGGCTCCTATTCTAGGGGTCTGAGAATTAGCCCTTCCTTCCCCATGGCTGGGCGGCAATGGAGGTAGCACAGGCTAGCACAAGCACAGACACCATTGGACTAGAGTTCAGATGGGGTCTTAATGCTTTTGAAGCTCTTTTCTAATTAAGGGTGATAGCAATAGTACCTATCATTTAGACATTATTTATTTATTTATTTAGGGTTTTTTTGAGACAGGGTTTCTCTGTGGCTTTGGAGGCTGTCCTGGAACTCGCTCTTGTAGACCAGGCTGGTCTCAAACTCACAGAGATCCTCCCAAGTGCTGGGATTAAAGGTGTGCACCACCACCACCCGGCTATTTTGACATTTTTATTATCATTATTATAAACGGGCTACACAGTCCAGATTAGCCTTGAATTATGTAGCTAGCCCTTGCTGCTCTTGAATTTACAGCAACCCTCCTGCTGTGACCTTCTGGGTGCTGAGATTATAGACATGCACCACCCCAAGTGACTGACTTTTGTCAGGTCTCATTGTGTAGGCCTGGCTGTACTGGAACTCACATGTAGACCAGGCTAGCCTTGAACCACAGAGATCTGCCTGTTTCAGCCTCTCAAGTTCTGGGATTAAAGGTGCGCGCCACCTTGTGTGGCTTGGCACACACGTGCTGTGTGGAGTGCAAGTACACATGACACACGCACATTGTAGATCAGAACACAACTTCGGGCGTCATTCTTACCTCCTGTCTTTCCTTCGCATCTGGGCATGGGCGTGTTGGGATTACAGACTCAGGATACTTCATCTAGCTTTTATGTGGGTGCTGGGGATCTGAATTCGGATCTTTATACTTGCACAGCAAGCACTTTACCCAGTAAGCCGTCTTCCCATAACTACAATAAGTAATTTCTAAAAAACATTTATTTATTATTTATACGTGTGCATCTGTGTGTGCATGTGAAGGGTGAGGGGGGGGGTGCATGCTGCACATGCTTGTGTGCAGAGAACATAGGACAATTTGTAGGAGCTGCTTCTCTCCTTCCACCGTGTGTTCTTACGGTTGAATTTAGGTTGTTGGGCTTGGTGGCAAGCACCTTTACCCCCTAAGCCATCTCTGTGACCCTGTTAAAAGTCATTTATATAATATGCTTAAAAGGATGATAGCCAGGCTGGAGAGATGGCACAGCGGTTAAGAGCACTGACTGTTCTTCCAAAGGTCCTGAGTTCAATTCCCGGCAACCACATGGTGGCTCACAACTACCTTGAATGAGATCGGATGCCCTCTGCTGGCATGCAGGCAGAGGATTGTATACATAATAAATAAATAAAATACTAAAAAAAAAAATAAGAATGATAGCCAGGCAGTGGTGGCGCATGCTTTAATCCCAGCACTTGGGAAGCAGAGGCAGGTGGATCTCAGTGAGTTTGAAGCCAGCCTGGTCTACAAAGTGAGTTCCAGGACAGCCAGGGCTGTCACACAGAGAAACCCTGTCTCGACAAACAAGAGTCAGTGCCTTGTATTAATAATTAATGAATGTTAGGTGTTGTTTATTCTTCTACTCCTCGATCATGGAGCCTTCTATTCCTGGGCCTAGAAATGGGCAAGAGAGGAGCAGGCATAGCAGTACACACCTGTGATCCTGTCATTAGGAGGTTGAGGCAGGGGTTCCAGACCAGCCTGTGTTACACAGAGGGACTCTGCCTTACTCTTCACACTAAGGGCATAGAGAGGAGCAATTGCTCACGTCCAGTCTAGGATTTCCTTAGGGTGGAAATGCACCTAAAGTCCTTGCCACCTTCCATCCCATCTGGGGCTGCTCCAGGGCCCTCTGGCCACTTCATTCCAAGGTCACAGGGTCAGGCACAAAAGGTCCGGCTGCAGGACAGGGGACTCCCATGGGGCACCTGCCCTCTTTGCCTTCCTTCTCCTCCAGCCTCGGTCTTGCGTTCTTCCTTCCTGAGTTGAGGCCAGTTTTGCCTTTGCCCCAGGCTAGTCCCTGAATTAGGGGGAGGAGTAATAGACAAGAAGTCTGATACCGTGTTCCCCCACCCTTCAGGCTCAGGTTCGTCCTCGATGTGGGCGCCTCGTGGCCTTCAGCTCTGGTGGTGAGAATCCCCACGGCGTATGGGCCGTGACGCGGGGACGGCGCTGTGCCTTAGCACTGTGGCACACATGGGCTCCTGAGCACAGGGAGCTGGTAAGGAGGTGTAGAGGAGGGGAGGTGTGAAGGGGTGAGTGGGTGGGCGCTGCAGAAGCTTGTGCAGGGGCGAGGCTCGCAGCGGAGCTGTCGGGTGGCTGAGATGCCCAGGCAAGGTGGTGCAAAGGACTGAACTATAGTTTATCCACCCCCAGGAGTGGACAGAAGCCAAGGAGCTGCTGCAGGAGGAGGAGGAGGAGGAAGAGGAGGAGGAGGAGGAGGAGGAGGAAGAGACCCTCAGCAGAGATCCTTCCCCAGAGCCCCCAAGTCACAAGCTTCAGCGGGTCCAAGACAAAGCTGGGAAGTTACTCCGGGTCCGAGAGGAGCTGTGACAGCTGAGCCAGCTTCTTAGGGATATGGCCACTCAATCTGTGAAGGAATCAATGAGAAGGCCCTGTGTGACATCAGGAACAGGGTGGCATGCCCATTTGGGGAACCTACAAGGGCCACCAAGCCCTGGACTCAAGTTTACTACACAGACTTAGCCTAGGGCCCACCAGGACTGGAAGCCAGGTCTGGTCCCAGCTGAGGGACCGGCACGGTCCCTAGGACAAAGATCATTATGCCTCCCTGAAGGCATGGCAAGGATTGAAGGCTAACTGCTTCTAATCAGGAAGACACAGTGGAGACCATCCCATCCTCTCCCAACCTGTGTAATAAAGAACATGAAGATCCCCAGTCAGGGCCTGGTCTGGCATATCCCAGCTTCTCTGACCGCTGGGGGTGGGGGTGGCTAGGGCTGGTGTGGGAGGGGACAGGTGGTGTCTTTGGGCCTCCCAGAGGCGGAGCTGTGAGAGCCTGTGATTTGTCAGGGAAATCTCAGCCATCTGCTGCCTCATGCAAATAGACCCATGTACCCCATCACCACCACCACAGCTGCTCCTTGGGCCTCCAACGCTAAGCCCTGTCATCTCTCCCTGAGTGTGGGTGTGAGAGGGTAGCCTGATCCCTCTGGCTCCTACCTTCACAGTCCAGTAAGACCCCAGGAGACGTGGGCATGTGAGCAAGACAGACCCCCAGCCTAGCAGGACACAGGGCTCCATTCTTTATGTAGTCCCTTCTTTGCCCACAAGGCAGGGGCACATTGTCCAGCTTCCCCTGGATCCCCTCTCAACTCCCCCAACTAGGATCAGGCCCAGGGGCAGCTGGTTGGGGCTTGTCGAGAAAAAGGATTATCCAGATCAGCCCCTTCTAATCTCACTGTCTGCCTGTACCCTCTCCCCGCACAGCCCTCAATGAGGGAACATGGTTTGGGGTGTTGACAACAGGGTCATCTATCACCTGTCTGTCCCTGCTCCTGGCCTGTTTGCTGAACAGACCTGCACTGCCAAGATCATGAGCACAAGTTAGGGCTAAGGCTGGGGCCTCTGGCGCTGTGGCTGCCCCTCTCTCTTGTTCTGTTCTTCGCCCCAAACCCAACCAGTAATCCTCACAGCTTTTCTCTGATCCGTGGGCCTGATGCTCTTATCTCTGCTGGCAGACTGACCATGGAGGCACCCCTTTTCCCCCCTTCTTGTGGCTGGATGGGGGTTGCTGCTCTTCCCTGGCTCACAGACCTGCTCCCCACCCCTCCAGGCTGACCCAAGTTTCTGGAAGCCACACACCTCCCTCCCTGGCCTCTCCCCCTGCCAGCTGATTTCATTTGCCTGACGTGGTTGTCTCTGGCCTTACCCTTCCCTGGCAGTTTCCCCCCTCCCAGTCGGGGACAGGCCAGGCCAGCTCCTCTGGCAGCAGAGGGGGGCAGGTGACAGGCAGGCATCGCAGCTGAGAGAGTCAAGAGGCGCCTGGGAAGCGGAAACCTGGGAGAAGTCCAGCTAGAGCCCAAGTAAGAGGGAGCTGGCCGACTCTGCCCTCTGGGATCGGGGGCCCACAGGGAGGGCTCAGGCAGTCCTGGGTTTTGATGCACAGGACCTAGGCAGGAGGAGGGGGAGCCCCCATCACTTCTTAGGAATAGGGCAGGATGGAAAGGACAGAAGCATGGTCTGACAGGGATTCCCCAACACCTGTTCCGTGTTCCTGGCAGGAGCCAGAGCTACCCCTCGACCTGTGCACCATGGGGGAGATGGCGCAGCTGAGGCAGGAAGCGGAGCAGCTCAAGAAGCAGATCGCTGTAACCCCAGCCCTCCTCCTGGGGACCTGGAAAACAACTTAAGATGGGGGGTGTGGCCTGGGAGGGGCTGGGGGACTGGGTTCACTCTTGGGTGACACTTTAGAGACCTCTGATCTAGACGGATTCAGACTTTAAACTTGGACCTCACATTTGAGACCACCACCCAACTGCAGAGTCCAATGCCCGCCCACCCATGTGTGGCATGCATGTGTGTGCCCTCCACCCCACCACAGCCTCCCTGATGCCTGCTTTCCCCACAGGATGCCAGGAAAGCCTGTGCGGACATCACCCTGGCCGAGGTGAGACTTTCTACCCCTCTGAGGCAGGACATGAGGGGAAGGGAGGGGAATGGATGGGCTGCTGCCTTAGCACACCCTGTCCTTGGAGCGAGGAAAGACATTCATGAATTAATTCAGCAAACATCTATTAAGATCTGCTCTGGGTCAGGCTCCGGTCTTGTCCCCTTCATCTTTAGCAGTACAGATGGAGGGGGTGTGCAGGATTTCTCATAGACACAGTTGACAGTTGTCTAAGACTGCATTTCATCCATTCTAGAATGCTTGTTTTTTTCAGATTTCTCTAAAATCGAGATGCATCTGACAATACATAATACCTTGTCAGCCTATTGTTTCTTGGTGATACATAAAATAGTACTGTTTCTTGGAACTAACAATAAGCACAGAGCCATGTCAGGTGGAACAGACTTGGACTCCAGCTACATAGAAGGCTGAGGCAGGGTTGAAAATTCAAAACATGCCTGGGCTGCAGAGTGGTTTTAAGATCAGCCTGTCTCAAAATAAAAAGTAAAGAGTTGAGCTAGGAAAAAATTTTAAAAGGACGACATGAAGTTGGGTGAGGGTAGGAGGTGAAGGGTGGATCTGAGAGGAGCTAGAAGTAGGGGTGAGTATGATTAAAATGCATTGCATGAGTTTATGAAATCATAAAAGTTAAGAAAAATATTATATTAAAAAAGTTATAAGGGTCTGGGGATATATTTCAGCGGTAGACTTCTGAGTTAGCATATCTAAGGCCCTAGGTTCAATTCCCAGTACTAAGAGGGGAAAAATAGAATAGAATCGATTGTATTAAATATGTTCATTCATAATAGCATGAGAAAGACACAGAGCTAGATGCTTAAATACATAATTCTCTATGATTCCCATGGCAACTCTGTAATAGGCTCAGGGGAAGGTGTGATTTGCTGAAGTTGACAAAGAATGACAGACCGAGTCTGTGGACTCTGGAGGCTTAGCATCTGGTTGTGGCTGAGGGAGTGGAGGACACAGAAAGTCCCAGGTGATGGCAATGCCGTGGAACCCATGGGTGTCAACTGTGTGCCACTGGGGTGTGAAGACAGGCATCTGCCAGTCTGAATCCACCTGTGAGTCTCTTCCCAAGTTAAGTTCAGTGACCTCATAGCAGCAACTCGAGATCAATCAAGATAGGACTATCTCCATAGTAACGACTCCTCCTCGGCCTGGAGACACTGGGCTAAACCCTTACCTCTACTGTTGAGCAGCTTGCCACAAGCCATTCCAGCACCTGTCGACCACAGGGGGCAGAGTCCCTCTAGGCTGGGGACCTCTTTCTCTAGTGTTGGGGAACCTGCTCGAGTGTCTGGTCCCCAGCAGGAGCTTGTACAAGCTGTGGTGGACATGTGAAACCCAATACTCCTTTCTCTGCAGCTTGTGTCTGGCCTAGAGGTGGTGGGACGAGTCCAGATGCGAACGCGGAGGACATTAAGGGGACACCTGGCCAAGATCTATGCCATGCACTGGGCCACTGACTCTAAGTGAGGATCCAGAGGGGTCTACAGGGAGGGGGCGGCAGGGAACAGAGGCCTGGATGACACAGGTGCCCTTTCTCCAGGCTGCTGGTAAGTGCCTCACAGGATGGGAAGCTGATCGTCTGGGACACCTATACCACTAACAAGGTACTAGCCCTTTCTACTGACTGTACTCCAGGAAGGGCCGTCATCCTTCCCAGGGTTGTCATGGCTAATCTCTGCTCTGTTACATGAAGCTCAGGTCCACCTGCCCCAAATCTACCCTCTGCAGGTGCATGCTATCCCACTGCGTTCCTCCTGGGTCATGACCTGTGCCTACGCACCATCAGGGAACTTTGTGGCATGTGGGGGGCTGGATAACATGTGCTCCATCTACAGCCTCAAATCCCGTGAGGGCAACGTTAAGGTCAGCCGGGAACTCTCTGCTCACACAGGTGAGAAGCCCTCTTTTCCTATGTAGGGGTCATGAAGCCCAGGCCCCTTGCCAGTTGTGACCTTGTGCCAGGACAATGTCCTTCTAACCACCTCCAGGTTATCTCTCCTGTTGTCGCTTCCTGGATGACAACAACATTGTGACCAGCTCTGGGGACACCACGTGGTAAGGGTGGAATGCCATGGGTGCTGAGGACTGGAAGGTCATCCTGTGCTGGGCAACTGTGACATTTCTGTGATGGGTTCCTTTTCTCCTTGCAGTGCCTTGTGGGACATTGAGACGGGGCAGCAGAAGACGGTGTTTGTGGGACACACTGGTGACTGCATGAGCCTGGCTGTGTCTCCAGACTACAAACTCTTCATTTCGGGGGCTTGTGATGCCAGCGCAAAGCTCTGGGATGTGAGGGAAGGGACCTGCCGCCAGACCTTCACTGGCCACGAATCAGACATCAATGCTATCTGTGTGAGTGTCCCTTCATGAACTACTTAAACCCCGACACACATCTCCGGCCCTTTCCTTACTACTTTTAAAAATAATCTTACCTTTATAGGATAGTTCCAAAACCAATGACTAGAAATGTCATGTCTGCTTTACCCAGATTCACTGTTAACATTTTGCCACATTTGTTTTCCTGTTGTCTCTAGACACGCATTAACATACTCACTCACACTTAGATCCTCACCTCTGCTCTCTGTGTGTCTGATGTGTAGAGTTGGAGGTTCAACTCAGAGCTTTTCACATGGAAGACGAGTGCCTTACCAGCAAGCTACACACTAGGTCCTCATTCCTGGATCCTGAGAGTAGATTATGCATATCATGACTCTGTGCCCTTTAACTACTCCTTGGAAGACAGAAGAGGGTGTTGGATTCCCTGGAACTGTTGGAGTCACAGTTATGAGCTGAATGTGGGTACTGGGACCCAACTGAACTTGGGTCCTCTGCAAGAGCAAGTGCTCTTAGCTGCTAGGCTGTCTTTCCAGCCCTAAATCAGAAGTTAAAAAAAAAAAATACCCCCTAAGACAAGGTCTCTCTATAGCTCTGACTGGGTTGGAAGTTGGAATTTGCTATGTAGACCTGGCAAGCCTCACACTCAGAGATCTGTCAGCCTCTACCTCCCAAGTGCTGGGTTAAAAGTGTGTTCCACCACTGCCCAGCTCATACGTTTTATTTCTGTCATGCTAGAGAATAAGCCCAGGCTGAGCCTAATAAGTTGTATCTCCCTCCCTTATTTCAGCATTTGAGAAAATCTCACTGAGTTGACTGGGCTTGACCAGAACCCACTTTATACCTCAGGCAGGCCTTGGGCTTCAATCTCCTGCCTCAGCCTTCTGAGTGCTAGGGACTTGAGGCAATTCTCCTGTATCAGCCTCCCAAGCACTAAGATTACAGGTGTAAGTTTTATTATTGTGTATGAGAGTTTTGTCTGCACATATGTCTGCATACCACATACAAGCCTGGCTCCCGTGGAGGTTAAGGTGTCAGGGTCCCCTGGAACTGGAGTTACGGATGGTGTCAGCCACCATGTGGATGCTGGGAACTGAACCTGGGTCCTCGAAAGAGCAGCCAATGCTCTTAACTCCTGAGCCACCTCCCCAATCCTAGTATAATTTGTAAAACCAGGAAATACAACATTTACAGAATACTGCTCATTCTCAAATTTAGCCAGTTATCTTATAAGTGTCCTTACTGGCAATGTTTTTCTATCCAGAATCCAATCCAGAAACGTGCACATCCTTGTCATGTCTTTTGTCTCTAAATAGAGCCATTTTTCTACTTTTCTGGGGTCTATGACATTATTTTGATAAGGACATGCCAGTTTTCTGTAATTTCCCTCCAAGTATACCTGTTATTCTTCCTGTTATATGCTTGGACCAGTCACAGAAGTCTGATCTCTTAGTTGTGTGTTCCTGGGAAGCCTTGGTGCTCCTGCCTGCAGCATGGCAATGGCGCCTGCCTACAGTGCTGGAGTCGGGCAGAGGGAGCCACGCCAACACAACAGTGAACAGCCATGCCCAGCAGGTTGCTCACTCTCCAAGAAACACACAGGCAGGGAGGCTGATAGAAGTGGCTTACACTCGCTGTGGGAACCAGGAAGCAGACAGGAAGGTGAGACTGCCCCATGTCTGAGCCCTGACGGCTTCTTACCTGTATTCTCAGTTCTTTCCTAATGGAGAGGCCATCTGTACTGGCTCAGATGATGCCTCCTGCCGTCTGTTTGACCTGAGGGCAGATCAGGAACTGACTGCCTATTCCCATGAGAGCATCATCTGTGGCATCACATCGGTAGCCTTCTCTCTCAGTGGCCGCCTGCTCTTCGCAGGCTATGACGACTTCAACTGCAATGTCTGGGACTCTATGAAGTGCGAGCGTGTGGGTAAGGCCTGCCCCAGACTTTCCAGTCCTCCCGCCTTCCCTCCCAGTTTCTTCATGGGGACCCTCTTACTGCTGCTTCCTAATTCTTGCCTAACTCCAAGCCTTGGAAAACCAACACCCTTTGCTTCTGAAACTAAGATCACATTCCCCAAACAGAAAGTGCTCTAAGCAGCCCTTCCTCTGCCCAGTGCCATGCCTACCCCTTCTGGTCACCCCAAACCAGAATATCTTAAATGCCCAATCCTCTGGATACTGAGGTTTCAGGGCCACACACTTAAAGGACAGCCTCAGAGAGGTATGAATGAGAGTAAAACAAGGCCTAGGGGAAAGACAGTCTGGTTTTTATCAGGAGAGACCAAGAGCTGAATGAAAATAACACATGCCCCAGAATCAGGCTCCAAATCCTATGCGGTTAGTTACTTTTCGAGTTTACCTATACATATCAGTCTTATGGGCCTTGCTTTTTTAAAAAGCAAAACAAACAAAACAGCCCTAGAAACAAAGGGCCCCTTCCTCAGGCCCATCACAGTGACCCTGGCCTTCCTCACAGCATACTGACATTACTAACCAGTTTACCCTTGCTCTACAATCGGCTCAAGTTCTGGACAGAGGAACTGGCCTGACGAGAAATTCCTCTCCTCGGGGCTAATCCTCCTTCAGTTCCTTAGTGTCTATCAGGGCAGAGTTTATTCCCCCCAAGCTGGGGCTTCTGTCCATCATGGGCCCTCACACACCTGGGAAACTAGGCTGACTTTTTCCTCTTTCTCAGGCATACTCTCTGGCCACGACAACAGAGTCAGCTGCCTCGGGGTCACAGCTGATGGCATGGCTGTGGCCACTGGTTCCTGGGACAGCTTCCTCAAAATCTGGAACTAAGGAGGCTAGAGGAAGAGAGGCAAAAGCCATGAAGATGCTCGCCTGCTTCCTCCTATGCCCCATCTCCTTAGGGTCAGTCTTCTATACCCCAGGGCCATTCCCAGCAAACTCCCTTTGGAGAGCAGTAGGATTATGGGAATGTGCCTTTCGAAGCATCAGGGACACAAGGGCAAAGAACTGCCCCATTTCCTCCCAAGGCCTCCCCTTTCCATAGTCCAACAAGAACAGACTCTTTTCAGCCCCTAAAGTCATCTTGAGCTACCAGTAGCCTTTGGAATGGCCAGGGTGCTAGCTCATGATTATGGATGTCACTACTAGTCTCCTGACCCCTTCATACTTTCTCTTTTCCTACCCTCTTTCCCCCTCTATTATTACCTAATAAAATGTAGCATCCTGTGATGCTAGCTTTCACCCCTTTGTGCTATAAGAAGACCTAGGTTCCATTAATGAGCAATAAGATATTACAGGTGGGAGGATAAAGGCTAAGTACTAGGTAGACTGCACAGGAAGAAGGATCCAGTCAGCAGCTGGGGAGGCTGGGTGGCCAGGAGGCACACAACAGCTTGCTACAGACTACAATGTGTGCAGGCTTCCTTGGAAGCCATTAAAGAGTTTCAAGTGGGGTATTACCATGATCCTTAAGCTTGTCAAGAAAACTGCTCTACCAACAGTTTAGGGTGGTGGGACGGAAAGAGAGACTGGCCTTCTAGAGAACAAGAGGCAGGTGTTAAGGATGACAGGACTGGGGCTGGGTGTGAAACTCAGTAACAGAGTATTTGACATGAGCAAAGCAAGCTCTGGGTCAATCTCCAGCAACACACACACACACACACACACACACACACACACACACACACACACACACACACACACATGACAAGGCAGAAGAGATTAAAAACACAGAATCACCAAGATCTAGTGACCATACTCACAGATAGGTCATTCTGAACAGAAGAATTCAATATTCAATACGATGACGAACAAGGTCATGACTACTGTTCAGGCAGAGAGGTGGGTAATGATCCTTCCTACCCACAAGGATAGGGAATAGGCAATGAGGAAGAGCTTTAGTGAAAAATCATGAATTTTATTTTAAGGGAACTAACGTTGAGTGCTTACGCACCAGCTGAAAAAAGTCGGGGTGAGAGGGACCTAAGGACTACCAGAAGCAGGTAAGTAATAGCTAGGCCCAAACAAAAGGGAAAGAGGAGAGGTGCCAAGGGCAGAGCCTCGGGGAGAGTATCCAAGCTTAAGGCATAGAGAAGAGGCTCAGAAGTGGCAGCAGAGAGACCCCGAGGCTGCCATTCTACACACGGAGGACCAAATGCAGCTGTCTAATTCACAAAGCATCATTTAAAACCATCTCCTTTAATATACAAGAAAATACACAAAACAAAACAATGTCCAAATCCCCAAGCTGGTAGCCTGTGAGGAACCAGAAAACAAGACTTTCCTCAGTACCTTTTGGGGAAGAGGTGAAGAGCACAGACTATCACCGAACTCTGGGCAAATCCAGAATGGACCTAGCTCTCCATCAAAGCAAAATGCAGATTCTCCTTGTCATGGTCCTGGCTTTGTTCCCATGCTCCTCCTCCTCCGGTTTTCACAAGTCTTCCAGCTCCAAGAATGACTCCTTCCTTCAGATCTTTAACATTTTCACTAAGAGGAGAAGGTCTCTTACCCTGCAAAAGGTGGTATATGAGCTGAGGGACCAGCTGGGACATCAGGGAAAGGTAAAAGCTGGGGGAAAAGGGCCTCCCACTATACTGATGATCTTAGTGACAATTTTCACCCTCTCTTCCTTTACCTGCCGCAACAGCAAGGCCCCAGGGGAGTTGTCGTCCTGCAGGACGGTGAGAGGAGATCTGCCTAGCACCTTGCTGTTTGCTTTCCGTCTACTACGCTTAGAACCTAGGGGAAGAAAGGTCTTGTTACGTAAGGATCAGAATTGGGGGCTTAGTTTATTCTTCTTACATTATCCCAGGACATGAGTTCAGCTTCTCTTCTCTCCATCTTAATCTTTCATTTTGTACCTGCAGACTGGGGAGTCTCGGGATCTCTTGAGGGCTTGTCTGAGTTCTGGCTGGCAATTATGGGTTCTGTGGATTGTTTAGCTTCCTCCTTGGCAAACACCTGTTTGGAGGGGAGTTCAGTCTGGCTCCCTGGCAGCAACTGGTCCTCAAGGGATAACTGAGTATCCAAAGGCAGGTCCAGTTCGGAAGATAAAGGTGTTTGCTGGGGCAGAGCAAGCTCTGTGGGGGAAATGGATTTGGAAGCTTCCGTCTCAAACTCTTCACTCAGCTCTTTCACCAGCGGACTCGGAGGGTCTGGAGGAAAGAAGGGAAGCAAGCTGTGGCCTTCTGATATAAACCAAGTAGGAAAAGATAGAGGACCATCAAACTCACGCTCAGACGAGGAGGGGGTGGGAAGAGGGAAAGCAAGGTGGGAGAAAACAAGCCACGGAGAAAACAGACAAGAGCTAGGGGTGTGGCTCAACGGTGGAGTGTGAACACCAGGAGGAGGGCCTGTGTCCCAGTTGGGCTGGGGGAGCCGAGTATGGGAGTACACGCCTGCAATACTAGCACTTACAAAGCTAGAGTGGGGTTGCCTCAAATTCCAGACCAGCCTGGGCTACAATGTGAGACCCTGCCTTAAGACACAACACAACACAACAAACAAAAAAGCTGGGTGGTGGTAGTACACGCCTGTACACACCCTTGGTCCCAGTACTTGGGAGGCAGAGGCAGATGGATCTCTTAGTTTGAGGCCAGCTTAGTGTACAAAGTGAGTTCCAGGACAACCAGAGCTATTACACAGAGAAAACCTGTATATAAGTGTGTGTGTGGAGGGGGGGGTGCATGTAGAAAAAAAGGCCGGTTTAGTTGATGAAAGAGCTGTTGCCAAGCCTGATGACCTGAATTGATCCCCAGAAGCTACACGGTAGGAGACCACTGACTCCCTAAAATTGCCCTCTGGCCTTTACACACGAACTGTGTCAGGTATGTGTCCTCACGCATAAAATGTAAAATTGAGGAGTCCAAAACAGGAGGCTGGAGCCCCTGGCTGGCATGCTCAAAACCTTTGGTTCAAACCCCAGAGCTACAAAAAGAAGCAAATAAAAAAGCCAGGTAATGGCCGGGCGTTGGTGGCGCATGCCTTTAATCCCAGCCCTCGGGAGGCAGAGGCAGGCGGATCTCTGTGAGTTCGAGGCCAGCCTTGTCTACAGAGCGAGTTCCAGGACAGCCTCCAAAACCACAGAGAAACCCTGTCTCGAAAAATCAAAAAAGAAAGAAAAAAAAAATCCAGGTAAGACAAAAATGGTCTTGATGCCACCCTAGATAGGTGTCAGTTTCATCAGCATCCCCTGGCCCCATTACTTACCGGCACCACTGATCTTCATGGGTGTCCGTGCGATGCCAAGAGTAGGGGAGCGGGGATCTGGGTCTTCAGCTTGTTTAGGACAACTCAGCTGTTCTGTTGGCAGGCGTGGCTGTGGAGAGCTCTCCACCTGTCCATACCGTAAGTTACAAGAAGTCTGGGTCCTGGCGTTTATCTCCTCCCCATATTCCCAGCCAGAACTGCTAACGCCCATGGATATGCAGCCTGCACATGCAAATTAAGAATGTAGAAAGGAGCTGGAGAGACGGCTCAGTGGTCAAGATCACGGGCTGCTCTTCCAGAGGTCCTGAGTTCAATTCCCGGCACCCACGTTGGTGGCTCACAGCCATCTATAATGAGATCTGATACTCTCTTCTGGCCTGCAGCATACAAGCAGGCAGAAAACTGTATACATAACAAATTATGCTTTAAAAAAATGCAGAAAGTTGCTGGGTGGTGGTAGCACACCTTTAATTCCAGCACTTGAAAGACAGAGGAAGGCAGATCTCTGTGAGTTTGAGGTCAGCCTGATCTACAGAGCAAGTGCCAGTACGGGGCAAGAGCTGTTACACAGAGAAACCCTGTCTCAAAAAACAAAAACAAACAAACAAACAAACAAGAAAAAGCAGAAGATCACCAGGCATGGTGGTAGTGCCGGCCTTTTATCCCAGTACTAGGGAGGCAGAGGAGATCAGTCTCTGTGAGTTTGAGACCAGCCTAGTCGATATGGTTGAGTTCCAGACTAGCCAGTGTTACACAGTGAGACCCTGTCTCCAAAAAACAAAACAAAACAAAAAAACAAAAAGAAAGAAAGAAAGAAAGAAAGAAAGAAAGAAAGAAAGAAAGAAAGAAAGAAGAGAAAAAAAGCAGAAAGTCAGTTACTGGAAAAGGAGACCATGAATTTGAAAGACAGCAAGAAGGGTGTATAGAAGGGTTTGGAGGGAGGAAAGGCAGAAATGATACTATTAGAATCTCAATAAATAATAAAAGAAGGGGATGTGCAGAAAGTAAGGTCGGAGTGGCAGGGTGACGAGGACTCGCAGACAAGCTGGGCAGGGCCCCCCCCCCCGACTCCACAGTTTCTGGGCATCCCCACCCCAGCCCAGCGTACCTGAATAGGAGTGCGCTGGATGCCAGCACTGGGTGAACGAGGGTCTGCCACTCGAGCCAGATGCTTGTTGTGTGGCAGAGGCCGCGCTGGAGTGCCTGAGACGCTCTGAGTAGAACCCATCTCCACTAGAGGTGGGGACAGGGCCCGGCTGTGCAGACGCAGGGGAAGGGACGCCGGTCAGGAGCGGCTCTCGGAGCTTACGGTCGGCCGCCGTGGCGGACCTCGGACCCCAGGCCCGCCCGGCCCTCCCAGTTTACAGCGGAGGAACCTCAGGGTCGCTGGCTCCGAGACCTCTGAGGGGACAACGAGCAGAGCTTCCGAGCGGCGTGCTCAGGTCTGCGGGAGCCACGGATTCACCCACTAACTCATTCGCAGCACTTACCGGGCCCCAGCTCGACCTCCGGGCGGACACGGCCAGCTCGAGAAACAACTCCTGAAGTCAGGAGTTTCAAACTTCCCGCCACGCCCCCTGTCCCGACCCCATTGGCTGGGCCGAAACAGACTCTCATAGGCCAGTTATGGGAAACGCGCCCTCCAGGCCAGAAAGCCATTGGTCCGGAGGACGTCAATCATGAGGGCCGGCCAATGGGCTGAGGACTAACTTGCCCCAGGGCGGTGCCTAGGTGGCAGGGACTTTTGTTCAGTGTCGGCCCGTCAGCAGTAGGCCTGAGTGTTACTCAGCCTCTCGGTTTTACGAAACAAAATAGGACGAGTTATTGTGCTGCATGCACAAAAATGGATGGAGGCGGAGTTAGGACGGGTTGCCTAAGGCGAGGCAGCAATTCTCATTGGTTGACGAAGTCATCACTCACATCTCTCAAAGTCGGCCTCATTGGCTACTGCTTTTCAAATGCCCAGAAGACAAACGCCCGTCTGCTTTCCGATTGGACGGTCCCTGACAAAGCCTCACTAACTAATGCATTTAAACAGCCCTCAGTTTCTGCTCCTCACGTAAAGCACTCTCATCGAGTCCTTGAATTGGAGGAGCCACAACAGCGCGGCCTCCCGGCCCCGCCTCTTGCGCGCCCGCCCCGGAAGAGCGGGATTGGTCCTTTCGACCATCAGTTATGCCAGGAGAGCTTTTTATTGGCGTTCGCTGAGAGTGGGTCAGAGGGCGGAGCACCAGGCGGCAGGCTGAGTCCAACTGCCGTTCTCGCGCGTCTTGCCTTTAGCGCATGCGCCCAGCAAGCCGCGCTCATTGGCCGCGAGAGCACGAGTGGGGGGGGGGACTAGGGAGAGTGGGAGCTGCTGTGTGAGGAGGAGCTGCTGCCGGTGTCATGGCGGAGCTGAGTGAGGAGGCGCTGCTGTCAGTGTTACCGACGATCCGTGTCCCCAAGGCGGGAGACCGGGTCCACAAAGACGAGTGCGCTTTCTCCTTCGACACGCCGGTAAGCCCATTCCCCGCGCCCGTGGGCAGCACGACTTCCTTCCATCGCCCTGGTCATTCGGCCAGGCCTGCAAGCCTCGGGCTACCGCCTCCTTGCGATGCACCCTGGGACTTGTAGTTTTCTCCGCGACTCCCTGCTTTTGCCTTTCATTATTTGGAGCTGTAGTGTGACTACCACTCCCGGAAGCTACAGCTCTCGCTCTGCCCATTCCTGGTCTCGTGAAGCATTATGGGCATTGTAGTTGCCCCCGTCCCTTGTTCCCATTCTAAGATAGAGTTGGAACCTGATCAGCGGACTACATTCCCCAGGCGACATCCAGAAAAAAAAGGTGGAGGTGGCCTTGCACGTTGCGCAGGGCTCTCCGGGTTTTGTAGTTTCATGTGGAAGGACTTAGGGGCGACTCCCCACTGTTCTGGGCAGGGGTTGAGGTTGGGAAGGTATGGCCTGCAGCTTCTAGTCTGGGAGAGGACTGGGAAGAAATCTAGTTTGGTGAAAAATTGAGTTAAATATCCTCCACTCGCGGTTAATTTGGATAGGGGATGGGGAGGTGGGTCACTGGTAGGGAGGAGGAAAAACGCCCTGTGGAAAGATCTAGTCGTTTCTTCTTTGGCGTGAATTGTGGCCGCGCCCCCTCCCTTTTCCTCCGTCCTTCCCAGGTTGCCGAGACAACCCCTTTTCAGGTATCCTAGAGTGGGTCTCTTGCTTGGGAGGCTGCTAAGGCCCTCTACCGTCTCGCTCCCACACTTGTCTCGTTAGACAAAGCCGCCACCCACTCGTGCCTCCCGTTTTGCAGGCTCCACCTCGTACCTCCCTTCCCGCAGCTCTGCCTTCTTGTGTCATCCTCAGCTGGAGACGAGCCTCCAGGCCCCAACAGAAAGGGCTGCAGTTTGGTCGGGATCCGCCCCCCTCGCCACCCCTCCCCTCAAGAGGCTGTTGGGCCCTGCCCAGAGCATTCAGCCAGACCAGCTCATGGCCTGAAAACTGCAAGTCAGAGTGGAAAGGCTTCATTAATGCATCCCCAGGGCTGAGTGTAGCAGCATGATGTGATGCCCACTGTAGGACCAGTGCTGTGATTTGTGGTTTTCTTGCTTTGCTGGGCTTTGATCTAAGCCCCGGATAATGCTCTGCTTCTCTCAAGTTGGCCTTGGTAGAATAAGGGAGGACGGCTGGCCTAGATGGCCAGGGTTTTCAATCCGTGCTGAAGCCAGCACCTTGTATTTTCATCTGAAGAGTTATATCGGTGGGTCTGTCTTTACACTTAAAGCAACTTAAAAGTTGTTCTTGTCTCTCCTTAGTAACTAATTTAAATGACCCAGAAAAGATGGGAGGTTTTTTTTTTTGTCTGTTTGTTTTGTAATTTTTCCAACATTTTCCTTTTTTTCATTCTAAGGCAAGAAATCTCCAGTGTAGTCTACTTGATTTAGTAACAAACCCAAGTACATCAGGTCATCTTCTGATTCTTTTTCTGGAAGAAAGAGTGTAGCTGACCCTGTGGTGAGAATGCTTTATTCATGAGCATTGCAGCCTATAGTATTCTAGGGAGTGGGAGAGTGCAATGTATTGGTCCACTGACTGTCTTGGATAGTGTCCTAATTGTACTGTCACAGTGAGAAATTGTCAAGGCCACTTGACTTACTCCCGGAAAAGGATGCCTGTGGCTCCTAGCCTTGGATCTGAGACAAGACTCTTTATTCCCCAGGTTCCTCTCCCACTTTCTCTATCACTCGTACAAAGGCACTGGCAGGCGTAGCGTTTGGGGGAGCCTGGTTTCCCGCCTCAGGATTCAGGATGGGCATTTATCTCACCTGTACTTGAGTTTTATGTAATCTGGCCAGATTGCTCATTAAAGCTATCTCAGCTGGCCATGGTGGCAACACATGGTAACCTCAGCCAGCCCTGGGAGGCTGAAGCACAACAAAAGTTTAGGCCATCCTAGGCTACATGGTGAGTTTCAGGCCAGCCTAGGTTACACAAGGAGATCATGTCTCAAAAATAAATCAAAGTAAATCAAAAGGGCTAGCTTTGAGGTTGCAGGTTGATGGGGCGTCAGTGGGGTCTTACAGGGGAGAGGGATGAGGTAGGAGTAGCTAGAGGCTGTAAAATGATGGACTTCAGGCCCTTACTAATGTACACGCAGGGTTAGCTGTGAGTCCTGAGCAAGGTATTTTCCTCTAAAGTCAGGGTTTAGTGGAGAGTGTGGCAAAGGAAAGGTCTGACTGCTGTCAAACTCAGGGTTAGGTGGCTCGTTGCTGCGTTCTTTGTGCCTGTGGTCTAGGAGGTCTGTCTGGTTGGTGATTAGTCTGAAAATGTAGACCTTCTTTCTCCCAGCAAGGAGCTCTTTTTCCTCTAAATGTAATCCCTGACACTGCCAGTTCCGTTTACTTTTTGAGTGTCCTGAGCCAAGAAGCGGCAAAGGGGCTTGATTGGTGAGCATCAAAGCCCACCGAAAGAATGAGCAAGCCGAGGGTCGGTGACTGGGGGCCGTCGTTCAGCTGCCTCATGAACTCATTGGCTGTCTTCAAATTCCTAGAGGATATGGGGAGAACTTAAGTCGTGTCGTATATCATGTCCCAGCAGGCTAGATAAGTTGCCAAGAGCTACACAGTGTCAGGGAACCTGCAGTTTCCCCACATGTCCAAGCTTCCTCTTTCTTATGCTCCCCCACTTGTGTTGTGTCCTGCAGGAGTCTGAGGGTGGCCTCTACATCTGCATGAACACATTCCTGGGCTTCGGGAAACAGTATGTGGAGAGACATTTCAACAAGACAGGCCAGCGTGTCTACCTTCATCTCCGGAGGACCCGGCGACTGGTAGGTACAGAGGCTAGGCTATGTGCTGGGAACATCCAGACAGTTACAGAATAGACACATTCTGCCTATTTTGTATCTCTGTTTCCTTCTAAGTTAGGGTTCTCATTGCTATGATGAGACGCCATGACCAAAAGCACTTACACTTTATTTGGCACTCCATAGTCTATCATTGAAGGACGTCAGGACAGGAACTCAGGTAGGGCAGGAACTGACGGGGAGGCCATGGAGGTGCTGCATACTAGCTGGCTCGGTCTGCCTTCTTATGGGACCCAGGACTGCCAGCCCCGTGGTGCCACCCACAAGGGCCTAACCCTTCTCGTATCAATCACTAATTAAGAAAATGCCCTACAGCGGTGGTTCTTAACCTTCTAACACTGCAACCCTTTAATACAGTTCCTCCTATTGTGATAACCCCAAACCACATTATTTTCATTGCTACAGTTAGGAATTGTAATGTAAATGTCTGATTGGAAGGATATCTGATAGGTGACTCCCACCATCACCAGAGTTTGCAGCCACAGGTGTAGAACTGCTGCCCTGCCGGACGGTGGTGGCGCACGCCTTTAATCCCAGCACTCGGGAGGCAGAGGCAGGCGGATCTCTGTGAGTTCGAGGCTGGGCTGGACCGACCGACAGCCTCCAAAACAATACAGAGAAACCCTGTCTCGTAAAACCCAAAAAAAAAAAAGAGCTGCTGCCCTACTGGCTTGCCTACAGCCCAATCTTTGTTGTGGTTGTTGTTTTTTATTTGTTTTGCTTTGTTTTTCAAGACAGGGTTTCTCAGGAGCTATGGAACCTGTCCTGGAAATCACTCTGTACACTAGGCTAGCCTTGAACTCACAAGATCTGTGAGGCCTGTCTCTGCCTCCTGAGTACTGGGCATCACAACTGCCCAGCATATAGCCCTATCTTATGGAGGCATTTTCTCGACTGAGACTCCTCCTCGTCTCTGATAGCTCTAGCATGTGTCAAATTGACGTAAACTAGCTTGCACACCTGATTCCCCTATTGTCCTTTGCTTTTCTTTCACCTGCTCTCATTTGTGTCACTAAAACTTGCCACAGTTGTCTTCCTGTCTTCATTCCATTGTTCAGCTAACCATTCTTTTCCCTCCATCTTCCTCATTTGTTCTGTCCCAAGGGCTCATTGCTGCTCCAGACCCTCTTTTTTCTTTGCTTTGTTTTTGTCCTTTTGAGACAGGGTGTTACTGTGTAGCCTTGGCTTGCCTGGAACTCCTAGAGATCTGTGCCTCCTGAGTGCTAGGACAGTCGTGTGCTGTCACACCCAGCCCTCAACCTCTTTGCGTTGCAGAAAGAAGAGGACACTAGTGCAGGCACTGGGGACCCACCTCGTAAGAAGCCCACCCGGCTAGCGATTGGTGAGTTACCTGCTAGGGGAACCCTGAGCCTGATCAGTGGCCTTAAGAGTCCTGGAGGAGGCAAATTGGAGGAGAGATGATGACAAATGGTAGTTGCTCTACTTTCTTCTTTCTTCCCTGTCCTGCCCAGGTGTTGAAGGTGGGTTTGACCTCACCGAGGAGAAGTTTGAATATGACGAGGACGTGAAGATTGTCATTTTGCCAGATTACCTGGAGATTGCCCGGGATGGGTTAGGGGGACTTCCTGACATTGTCAGAGATCGGGTATGAATATCTTACCACCCTATCCAGAGATCCTAGGGCATGAGGGACTGCTGCCGGTGTATCTTGGACAGCACTAACAAAACTGGAAACCAAGGGTGGAAAGGGTGTGTGGGGCAGGGCTTGGGTCCTGGTTGACTCTGTTCCTTCTAGGTGACCAGTGCGGTGGAAGCCCTACTCTCTGCTGATTCAGCTTCCCGCAAGCAAGAGGTACAAGCTTGGGATGGGGAAGTCCGCCAGGTGTCTAAGCATGCCTTCAAC